CCGCTCCTGGACCCTGGAGGGGTTGGCACGGGGGATCGAGAAGGTAGAAGGGAATGGAGCTCACCTCGAAAGCGAAATACAACAAGTCCCGCCGCCATTGCTGGGTCACCCTTCAACGGGAGTTTTGTCGTTGCGTGGGAGGGGGTTTGACAGCCCTGTGCGACGAGTCATCCCCTTTCGACCCCGACGTTCCGCTCGGTGGGGATGGGTGAGAGAGACGGAGAGGGAACCTCTGTTTCATACAATATAAGAGAAATTGAGAAAGAGACGGTTATATTATACGTGGATAAAGAAGAAGCAGGATAAAAACAGGTGAGGTCGTGGAAGAGGTAGCTTGGGGGATAGAAAAGGAAAAGAGGGAGAAAGAGGAAGGTTGGTTCGTTGGGAGAGAGGATATCGTGGTGGAAAGGAGAAAAAAGATCGAGGGTATGAGGCGGAGAGTATATTTATAGGGAGGGAAGCGAGTCGAAGAAGGAAAAAGAAAGTGGGATGAAGAGTGATACACGTATATATATATATACACACACACACACATAGAGGGTGAAGATGGAAGGAGGAAGGGAGAAAGGTCGAAAACTCCGCCCCTGTATCCGCAAAAGCGAGTCAATACCATGACCAGCCATCCTTTCTCCTCCGAATGCCCTCACAGGCATAACCCTGCCTTTCCAACCCCTTTCTCTCTTTGCGCTCTCGAACCGAGATATCGAAATTCGTTACGTGAGGACGCTCGACTTGAAAGTTGACGGCGTCACGAGGCAAACGTGTGTTTTAGGAATCGATCCCCGGATATGGACCGGACGGAATTGAATTTTGAAACAGTTTCAGATACCTGTGAGTACCATTTAGCATCGTTCTTTCTCGACCGTTCTCACAAAATTTCTTCACTTCGCAACACCGTATATTTTCATTTACACAGCGATTTTTTCCGCTTGGCTTGTCAAATTTAACAGTGGCGTGAAATTGTAACATTTAATTTTCGATCGTCGATAATTGGATAAAAGAGGAGAAAAGTATCTCTGTAATTGGGGGAAAAAAAAATTCAATCCTGAAAGGATCAAGGATGCTCGGTTAATCTTCTTACCAATAATTCCAACGCGCCCCACGTAATTAGAAAAACGCGTATACGCATATTTGAGAATCGTACAAAGGCGGCTATGATCGAATAAATGCCGGGCAGTGATTCCCCAGATGAGGAAACGATTCGAGGAAACGATCGAAAAAGTATTAAGGGTAAGTCTACCCCTCCCTTCGTGCCGGGGCGTTTAACTCTCCGATTGCTTTGACAACTTAAGCAGGCCCTTAAACCTTGCTCGAGCCACGATGTAATTTATAAGCGGCTGTGGGGGTAATTCCGTTGGGGACCGTCAAACTGCCATGTGGCAAAACCCTCGAGGGAAAGTCAGGGATTATACGGTGATAAATAAATATGTACGTTTATGCAACAACCACCGTGACTCGGGGGTTAGCGTCAAATTTCGATTCGACCCTCTGTTAAATAAACAGAAATTAAAGTAGTTCGGGATGGTGGGATCTTTGACTTTCGTCGTGGGGCGAGACCGCGTGTCTGTCGAGATTAGTGAGCGTGGAATTAGGGGTATTTTGTCTAGCTTTGTGGAGTATCGAATATTTTTTTGATAGTAGATAAATTAAATAAATATTATTGTAACGATAATGTTTCTGATTTATTTTATAAAGGAAAATTACAAAGATTTCATTCTATCTTGATTGAGAACACAGTATCGAAGTGTTGAAATTTTTTTATAGATTTATTGAAAATATGAGATATCGTAGAGTAGCAAATAATTTTTTTTTCTTTTATTTCGTTAAAGAAATTCCTAGAATATTTTGTCAATAGGAGGGTCATTAATTCGACGTTTCGATGATTCTTACGCATGTGTACTTTTATTACAAGTGATTACGTAATCGTTACAATATATGTCACGTGACTCAGTATCTAGATTTTTACAGCAAATAGTATCACAACACGAAATATACAAGAAAAGCACAGACAAGTGTATCTTTTTACAACTGTCCAAAAAAGTTCGTATCAGTTTACTCGTATATTCAAAATTCTTATCTTACATATTTTAGAAAGTATAAATAAGAAAAGAAGAAAAGAAATATATATATAAAAAAAATGAATATCGAAAAAATTAAACGAAAATTTTTCATTTCAGTATCTCTTTTTCAACCTGATGATTCGTATAAAATTGATTACTTAAAATCGAAGAATTAAAAAATGATTTGGTCAACACGTCGAACCTAATGTTCGATAAACATTTCTATATTAAATAAATAAATAAATAAATATATATATATATACATATATATATATATATATATATATATATATATATATATATTTATATTTATATATTTATATATATATCTATATCTTTACATCGGAACATGAGTATCCTTCGTTTCACTTAGATACCGTTGAATCATTAAACTAAATACTATTATTCGTCGATTCGTTCACCTTTCTCGAAGGATCTATCGTTACTCGACCTCGGATCTAGTAAGAAAAAAAAATCACTAGGTCGCGAATTCAATTCATATTTGGGGCTTCATCCTTAGGCCAAGGCTTTCGCACACGTACAAACTATTCATCTTCGATCGATCATTCTCGACTATTTGGTCGGTTGCTCGATTGCTTTTATTTATACTTTCTAGTTATTTTTTTTTTAAATAATCTGCCGTTGAAACTTTGCAACGCCTACGCTGCACCTAAATATATCAGTATAGATACTTTCGCGAGGAAAAGTCTTTCGTGCTTTTTTTTTTTTTATATTACACTTAAAGAGACGATATTACAATGGAATTTCGATCAGGCATCTGCGATTGATTCTTTTTGCAAGTGACTCGAATTTTTATATTCAAAAGCATTCGTTCAAATACGAAAAATGTGAAATATGTTACAAGATCGATCTTACAAGATCCATAGAATTCCACTTATCTTTGATGATTTGAATCTTCTTTTTCTTTTTTAATTTTTATACATGTCGCACAAAACTTTCTCCATTGGAGTGTTGCCGATTGTTCTGTGAAAATATATCAATTCCACCCTGGAAGCAGGCACTGTCCTCAGTAATGGGAGCAATAGCAGTAACCTGCCGAATCTTGCCGGACTACCTGGTTGTTGCGCTCTGGCGTGTTGGCCCAACATCACTTGGGCTTGGTCCTGCAGATTTTCTATCTGACTCGAATCCTTTAAACCACGGGTCTCTGCAATTGCGTTTTGGAAGACACAGACTTATTTACAATTTCATAAAATATACGTTTATTCTAACGCAATACTGATAATATTAAGAAGAAGTAATGATATTATTGAAATTAATCAGAGCGCGAACCTGGTCGAAATAGTACTATGGCTTTCATACAGGCGAATTCAGCAGGATCAACCATGACAGCCTTGTATCTCTGCAAAGTATCGTGCAAATGCCTCACGTCCGCTGCCACTTGGCTCGGTTTACCCGTCGTGGTTTGCATGTGGATTCCGGAATGAGGGTGAGGATGCGGCGACAATGTCAAGGCAGTCAATTCCGCGGAGTTGAATAGGGGCGATGATTCAAGTGGAAGGCACCACTGCACTGCGTTCAGAAGGAAAAGCTCTGACCAGGCCTCTTCTAGTAGTATCACCTATCACGGACAAGATGAATCAACAAATTTCATAGATTTTGATTTTTTAGAAATGGATTATTTCATTGAAAGAGATTCTATAATATTTGAAATAGAAGAAAAAGAGTTTGTTCGATACCTGATCCCTGAAAGGCAAACTCGCGAAAGACGGAAGATTCTTGGCCCACTTTACAGCCATGAAGAGCAGTCTAGCACTGGTTTCGTAGACCGTTTCAGCACTTGCAGGCGAGTACAACGAGGGGATCACAGGAGGAATTTGCGTGCAACCGCTCCTTTGGGGTGTCAATGGTTCCTCGTTCGTTACGTCTATACTATCCTCGGATGCATTTCCTGTTGCAAAAATATTCAAAATCGTTATCGAAAAAAATATGATTTCGATATTCACGCGATATAATAAGTGTTAAAGAAAAAGAAAACACTAGTGAACAATTCTAAATACATGGAATTCTATATATAAATGTTGAAAAACTTGTTTCATAAAAATTGATAAAGATTATTGATAAAATAAATGAGTACCATCTTCGTTATCCTGTCGAGGTGGTGTCGGAGGGTTGGTCGAATTTGTCGTCGGGGCAACGGTGGGTAAAGGCAGTGGTGTCGTGTATCTCGCCATGGCCAAAGACACAGGTGGTCTGAAACATTATATTTTAAAAAATTGTATTTCGAATTTTCATCAAATTTATTTTTTATTTTATTTTCCCTATGCTAATAATATCCAATAAATATTTTTTGTCAAAATAATTTTTATTCTTTCCTCCAGATTTATCTTTTACGAATTTATATATATATATATTTTTTTTTGTGCGAATTTTTAATCGCAATTTTAAATCGCGTAATGAAAAATTATCTCGAATTCGTATAGAGCGATACCAAAGTCGATATGTAAAGCAAAATTGATTATACGAACGATTCGCAGCAACTTTAATTTGTTCGCTCGCGAGTTTTGTTTGCATACTTTCAGCGTATGCCGCGAAGAAATTTCGTTTCGCGGAATTCGGGTAGGTAGGTGGGCGAATATAGGTCGCCCTGTACGAGAAAAGTGAGCGCGATTTGCATCTTGTGCGAACGAATTCGTTGTTGAAAAATTCGGAACCGATTTCACGTCCAGACGGTCGGAAAAATTGAGAGATTGCAGATGACGGTGTGTGATAAAATTGCGGTTAATGTATCAACAAAGCAGCAAGAACAAAGGTCAGTGCACTTATATCCATCCTTTTCTTTCTATAAATATTATCGTAAAAGGTGTTCTTCACGCGCATTCATTCAAACATTCCTAATATTTCATCAAATTAATCGTTTAAATCGACTTAATCTCGATACGATATTTTTTTAATTAGAAACAACGAAAAAATTATAATAATTTCTTTTCCTATACGAGAATATTCCAATAATTAATTAAAAAAATAATTTCATCAATTCCATTGTCAATAAAAATGAAAAATGTTACTATGCATCTATCTTTGCATTATCTCCGATGAACAAAATCATCAAATGGAAGAAATTCAATTGCAAATACTTTTTAATTCTTATTCACCCAAAGATCTGATCGTAAATCTTAATTTTCCACACAGAAAACAAAATCTTTGAACGAAAAGACCGCCGCCACCCTGTCACCTACCACGAAGACCGCCCCTGAGGGCAAGATCAATGCATCGACTTCCGTGTCATCATCCAAGATGGCGATTCCGAACAGCAGAAATTTCGCCAATTGTTACATGGAACTGTGCAAACAGCAACATCTGCGACCTCTGCCGGTCATCTGCGTGACACTTCCCCATAGTCTAGACTTCACCACCGACCGTGTAAAAATGGACGATTGGGGCCCAATATTAAATTCTCTGTCTCTCGATCGTAGCCTACGATCGATTAGCGTTCGCAGCAGGTATCAATGTCGCAAACCTTTGGAGGAGATCAATTCGGAAGACAAGGCCAGAACGATGGGCAAGGCACCCGTCGTGTTGTCTCGATATCTTCTGGAATGGCTGTCCCATAGCGTAGCTCAATGCGTCAGAAATTCGCCGGTTCTGACCAATTTGGAGCTGGAAGGAATTCCATTTCCTCCAGATTGTTTGGCTGTTCTCTGCGTGGGTCTGTCGCACACGCACACCCTTCATTACTTGTCTCTCCAGCGTTGTTACATCGGTGATAGTTCTTGCGAGGTGTTGTGTCGTACGGTGGCCGACGTGCCCAGTGTCAGATCGTTGAATCTCAGTTACTGCGACTTGACGTGCAAGTGCGGTCCGGCTCTGGCGGCCGCCTTGTGCAGACAGAAGCTGTTACTCTATCACGACACTTGGAAACAGTCGCTCAGATATCAGGAACCGAATCTCGAGGCTATGCCGGGATTACGTCGTTTGACGTTGAACGATAATCCTCAACTCGGCGACGCGGCCATAATGGAGCTGATCGAAGCGGTGAGGGATAGCCTTTGGTTGAAAGCGTTGGATCTGCAACGCTGTGGATTGACCGACAAGATCGGCAAGGATCTTCTCGAACTGCTTGACCACAACACCACTCTGAGTATCCTGGACGTGAGGCAGAACGTGAACCTGAACGAGGCGTTGGTGAACGAGGTGATCAAGAGGCTGGAGGAGAACAACGGTGACGCGAAGACCGAGTATAGGTGGTTGGGTTTGCCACAGCACGATCGAAGAGTGGTGTCGGCAGGCAGTGGGAACAGGAACGAGAACGAGGATCACAGGAAACCTCCGATCAGACCGCGTAGCACGGAGTACAACAAGGGGCCCTATGCAGCGAGGAGAATGGTTAATCAAAGTAACGCGAGGAAAACGAAAATGAGACCTCACGTTCCACCGTACAAGACTACTAGACAACTGCAGCAACAGGAGCAACAACACATCATTCAAAATGGTCAGCCCAAGTCGAAAATCTCGCTTCATCTGGATCTACAGTCTCACATACAGCCTGTGATGGGGGAGGGACAAAATAACGTTCCGTCCTACGTGGACAGTATTCAGGCTGACACGGACAGGTCGTCGTCGAAAAACCTGGAGGTCATAAAAATTGACGTTGGCGTGCAGGTGGAAAACGAAGAAATGGAGAATTCCACTAAAATTCAAAAGATCCAGTTCCAATTGAGCGAGGCGAAGGCTGAACACGATCGGCTCATCGAAGAGGCTAAACGTAGCGGTATAATGCTGGCGGACGAGCGAGGAAGACGCGAGGCCGCCGAGGAGCAGTTGAACGCGATGAAAAGCAACCTGACAGAGCTGGAGAACGCTCTGGAGGAGAAGGAGCGGGAAACGAGCGGATATCTATTGCTCAGTCAGCAGTCTTTGGAGGAGATTTGCAGTTCCTTTGATAGATTGCTGAACATGTTGGACAGCATGACAAAAAATCGGAATGCTAATAGAAGAGAGAGTACCGAGGCCGCCATTGTGAGGGCGGACATAAAGAGACGGGTCGCCTCTGTGATCAGGGAGACGAAATCGGAGAATCTGAGGCGAGGATTCATCATCGACGACGACAACTCAATCCAGTACACGGAGCCTATCAAGAAGTTTGCCAAGTCGGAGAGCGACATGAGATCCGCTTTGCCACCGATTTCCACGTTGCATCTGGAGAGGAATATAGGGGACAGTCCGGATATCGGTTCGCCCACTTTGCAGAGGGTCTTGCTTCACGAGAAGGACTCGTTGTCTCCCAGAGCTAGGGCCAGGGCGCTGTTCGCTCAGATAATTCAAGGGAACACTGTGCTTGACTTTTGCACTCATATCGATTAGTAAATTGGGAGTAGCTGAAGATTCAGGGACGAGGTTTGTAAGGTGTACAAGCGCGTAGCTTTTTATAGAAATAATATAGGTAGATAAATATACGGAACGAAGAAAAGGAACAAGTGCTCAGTTCGTCGTACGTCGACCCTGATTCATTGAAATATCTTATAAGCTGAAGAAGCTGCGTAACGATTGCTGGGAAACGAAACTAAGAAATACAATAGATAAATAAAAAAAAAGAGAAGAAACGTTTTTAGAAGAAGAAAATTTTGAGAAAAATTGAAGTGTCGTGATTCGCTCTGCATCGAATTGCACGGATTAATAAGCGTCGAATTGAAGTGAAGTTCGACGGTGGTTTCTAAGCAATTGGAAATGTATCGTTAATAATCGATAATTATAAATATATTACGCGAGAAGTCGCGTTGGGATCGATTTGTAACCGCCACGGTTTTTCTTAGCTTCGTAATTGTAAATGGAATAAACAGCTTTCATCCTTCTCAATAAGCATCACTTCGTTCGTGAAACACGTGTGTAGTATAATTAGTTTGTATGGAAGTTTATTTCGTCCGAGTAGCTATAGCATCGATATTATTCCTCTTGTTCTCGTTCTCCTTTCCATGAAATTTTCTCCGATACGTGAGCCAGATTTCCAACACAATGATAGAAGGTTAATATACCAATAAAGCCCGGGCTTATGCAATTTCAATAGTCGGTCCGGAAATAATCATGGATAAGAAAGGATGAAACGTCTCGTTAAACTGCACGAGACATTTTGTTAGAAACTATTGTACGTTGCCACTAGTATTTACGTATTTATTACAAATACTAAAATAGCTAAAATAATTTACTCCAAAGAGATAATTTAATCCAAATTCTTTTTATCTTCTCAGGTGACGAAAATATACTTTCTCTTTTTCTTTTTTTTTTTTTTAAATTGTGCACACTTAAATAAAACTTTTCATTCGTTCAGCTAAATGTAGTCGAGTCGATGTTATTTTATAATATACCTCAAAAGATTCGAACGGCCTAATAATTATAAATCATAAAACACTTTATCATCGAGCATATTTAATTTGTCAACGATTTAATGTAATCACAAAGTAACCATCAAGAAATAAAGGATTAAATACACACGAAAGAAATGGAATCATTGATAAAAAAAAAACATAGCCAAGATTAAATCAAAGATAAAAAAAGCGATAACGGTAAACTCGGGCACTCGTGTGAAAGCCTGCACGCGGAGAAAAGAAGGCGTAATTTCCAGAAAGCTGCGGATATCGACGCCGAGCACGCTCGCTGTCGCTTTTAACGTTCACCCCTTGGCGCTCTATGGATTTTCCATTAGTTCCAACCTGAGTACTCGGTTACCTGAAAAACGGTCAGCCACGGGCTACTAGTCAAAGGTAATTTTTCATGATAGATCACGCTCGGCGTGGCGTGTTGCGAGCGCGCTTGCTCACGACGGCGAAAAGTATGCTGCTCTCCAGCAGAAGATCAAACGTGCCAACAACGTCGTCCACTCTCTTGCTCTTATCGTTGTTGCTCCCGATGAATCGACGATTATCGATCGCGAAAACCCTCCTCAACGTTACCTTTAATCCTCCCCTCGACTGACCACCTGGATCCGCTCGACGATTCATCGCGTCTTTGCGTCACCTAAATACGCGCTTAAGTGGGATCCAACGCGTGAAATGAATCTTGAGCGTTGCTCGAAGAAGTGGAGCAAGGATCTTCTTAATAGACACGATTATTTTTGTGTTTTCGCAAGAAGAATTTTCAATTTTTTTTTTGCCGTGAATTTAGAGATTAGAGGCTGATGGAGGATTGATCATTGAGCGTGACTACTAATTACAATTTTTTTTTGATCGATATATTTAAGGTTTTAAAAATTTTTAAAATTAATAATTATTTACTAACACCTTTATCTTATTTTTAGACGGATTTTAAATATATTTCTTCGAATAATAACAATCGAAATAACAATTCAGAAACGAAATTTCGATGAATGCAAAGCTGTCATTAACAATTTCACAAAGATGAAAAATAGAAGTAATAAGACTCACCCAAAGACACCGACGGCGACCGCTGCCTCTCGAAGCGCTCTTTCTTGATCCATCTCGACGAGAGCCTCTGGTCTAATGGTGGCAGTGTTTCTGGGTTGCCGTTCATTCTGTACCGCTGAAACAGAAGCGCACATCTTCGATGTAACGTCGATAGCAGGCGTTAATTGCAGCTACGAATTAATTACACGCCCCCGTGTATTGCCTCGTGCGCGCTTTAGTCAGCGCTATCGAATGTAATATCTTTTGGAATTTGCGCACAATAGCGCGGTAAACTACACGCCGATTAATTGCTTCGATCAATCTGCAAGAAAACGATCGTACGAGATTATTAATCTTGCAAATTGATGAGGAATCGATATTAATTTTCTTTTTATTTCTAAAAGGGAGGAGGAAAATTCTTCATCCCTCGTTTTGCATTAAAAGAAACAATAGAATAGCAATTATAAAATTATTCTTCGAAACTTGATACATCATCTTCGTTATTCATTATCACAAGTTCAAAGATTCTTTCATTCTTAGGATATTTCCAGCATTTTACATAATCCTTAATATGTATTAGTGATAGATAAACGGAGTGCAATCGATCTAAAAATAAGACAATTTATAGAATTTCTGGGAAAAATAGGAGGAGCGATCAAACGCTATATAATTGATCATGTATCTCGATAATTCGTTACATGGAATATCCTCCTTCCCTTGGATCTTCTTGGTTATTGAAATATTAGTGGAGCTCGGTATGGAGTTCGACGAGTCTTGTTGAGATTAATCGGGGAACAGACGATTGGCCACCACCCTCTCGTCAAATTCACGTAACGCGTTATATCACGACAGCGGCCTGCGACTGACAAGCGTGAATTTAACAGACGTGTAGAAATCAGCCACATTTATTGTTCGTATATATTCGTATATATATATATTTTGCCGTTCGATAACTTTTTGGTTGACATCCATCTTTGGAATAACTTCATGCACCATGGAGAAAATGGAATATAATAATAGAAAATGGATATAATAATATCCCTTTTCGTCTTTTCGCTGACGTGAATTTTCTTTGGGGATCGAATTAATGGAAAGAATTGTAAAGGGAAGAAGAGAGGGACTTCGTTTAATGTTTAACTTGGCGTTCTGAGCTTTGGAGATGATTACATTGGGGGACGAAATGAAGATGAGGTTGCTTGGAATTTTTTAGGGCAATATAGAGATGAATTTTAATGTTTTTTTAGACTAGGCTTAGAAGATAAATAGAAATGTGAAAATTATCAAATTAATAATTTAATCTTGAAATTCTGATATGTAAATGATTCTATCTTAAAATTTCTTTCCTCTTTTTGTTAGTATTGTCTGATAAGAATGACAAAATATTTATACAGTCGTGAAAAACAAAAAATTCGTCTTTTTGAAATTCGTCAGACGACAAATCAACAGTTCAACACCGATATATGTTTTTAATATAAATAACGTTAAACGAAAAACGTCTTTCGCTTATTTATAACGGTATCTTTTGATTAAAAAAAATTACATATTTAATTTATCTCTACTTTCTTTCTTAAAAGCATAAAGTAAAATCATCACCATCTCAAAACTTGCATACATACATTGCTACTAAACATCTCTATTTTCATTTTTAAATTTTCTTAAAAGATTTCGCAAAAATATCGTTCGTTAAAGGAAAAAATTCGTGACTTTCTGCACACAGCATATCTTCCATAAATCTTCCTTAAAAGCACAACTATAGTTATCTTCGATTCTCGCAAAGACAATGCAATTTCATTTACTTCCGCTCTCCAAGAGAGAAGATTTGTGACACCGAGCACACGTTAATAGCGATTAGGATCCTTAGTAGCGTGTAACGGCGAGCAGAATATATTTTTTTTTCTTCAACCTTCCCTTTTTAACGTGGCACGGGTGCACAGTAATTTCGTAATGATAAAAAGCGTGCCGCGGCTCGTTTTACCTACGCGTCGTGCTGCCTGCTGAGCGGCTTAATAGGATCCTCCTACTTCGTCCAAGCCTTTTGCATCCGGCTCTCTGTCTCTCTTCCCTTTTTTTTTTTCACAAGCTTTCTTCCCTTGCTACTGCCCTCTCGCTCTCTCACTTTTTCTCCCGTTTACCCTGCCGGCGGAAAAGATAAACGCCCTTCCGCCGGTCGCGTCCCCGGGAAATTTTTCTTGTCCGCGCGTATAACACGCTGCGCTTTCCCTTTTGTCTTTTTAACTCTTCAGTCCGCTTATTTTCACACACCCCTCTCCCTTTTGCGCCTCTTTTTCCTTCACACCGTCTTCCTTTTTTCACGTAAAGTTGCCTTCATTTTCTTTTTTCGATGCACACAACCAGGGATCCTGACACGACGGATGTTTAAGAGGCATCTGGGGGAGGAGCGTGAGCCCTAGAGTTTCAAGCGAAAATATTATTTGCACGATTAAATCGAAATTAAAAAAGTTTAATCGAACGTTTTCATTCTTGAGTTTACATTCTCCGAATTTTACGATAATAATTGCGAATATACGAATCTTCCTCTCTCTCTTATAGTTGACATTAACGATATTTAAATGTAATTTTAAAGAATAATTAAATATATCAGATCGATCAATCACTCGATAACGTCACCTATCATCTATCCCATTCGAATGATCAAAAAAATCAAACGATATCACCGATCATTCATCTATTAATCGATCTGTAATTCTCCGTAAATTACAATCGTTAATTGTTCTCGTTCGATAATAAATAGAGACCTCCAGACCCTAGAATCCTTTCCATCATCGCATCGACGTCTCCGACGTGCAATCGTTTCACACGAGGAGAGATAAACGCCCTTTTACAGATCGTTTCACTCTCATTTGCGTGAAGCTCACCGTGGGAGGTCTGCCTCCCTTTTTCACTTTGCTTCTTCCGTGTATCCTCTCTCCCTTTCTTTCTCGGCCGCCGTTATGACACAATTTGCGCCTCGCCTCTTCTTTTAACCTCGCCTCCGCCCGGGATTCCTCGCCGGGATAACACGCGTGTATTCACGGGGGCGAGAAAGGGAGCGCGACAGGCAACGAGCGGCGCGGATTTTTGAGCATGCTGATCCGCCTGCACGTTGCATACGTTTATTTCTCCCAATTAACCCTTCGGGGCTAGACGGCGGCCACGCGACCGTCGCTAACGACCGCAGTGTTTACGACGCCTT